AAATTTTACGATGAGGAGAATGACCACCGAAGTCCTTATCAGTCGCTCTTTGTATGCATCAATCCTCATTACTCCTGTCTTCAGGGTCAGTCCACTGTCTGAAAATGCGGTTTTATTAGTTAAATAATTATATTTATAAATTTAGTTATATTTAAACGTTTTTATCTTACCCTGGCTTCAAAAATCGAGTAATATCATTAGTAAGTGGTCTCTTCTTATGCATTTCTCGCCTTCTGTCCAAATAAACCATTGAAAGGATTGGGTCTGACAAGTATACTGCCCTGTTGAAAGTGTCCAGGATAGCGTTTTCTGTACTATTTCTTCTAGAATGTTCCCGAATTGTCTCTCTGTGTATTTTGTGCATACTTTCGAGAGCATCTTCCGCATAAAATGCAACAGGCATTGGAAACTGCCGCACAATATCAGGACCATGTTGTAAAATTTTATGCATGGAAGGGTTCATGCGAGCCCATGGATATTTTATATAGTGGAGTTTATAAGTAAAATCACTAAACTTTTTAAGCTCCTCTACTTCAATCTCCAACGCACTTCTATAAACTTTAGTGATAGTAGCGAGATTGCAAACTAACTCCTCGTCAATATCTAAAGCGTTGGCAAAGTCTTTGGGTCTATCAAGGAATTTTCGGGCAAGATTTCCATTGTTGGATGTCCCTTTGCCTTGTATTACTTGATCCACTCTGATTTTAAAAGCATTATATAATCTATCTCTCACTTGACTAGCGTACAAATCAACAGACTCTGAAATTCATAAAATCCTTATTAATAAATTCATTAACCTTCTAGTTATCGCCATAACAGAATAGCAGTGCCTATGTACCTTTTATGTTTTTGGTGACATCCCATACTTTCACTTCTTGTTTATAAGCAATATGAAGCAGATGGTCGAAAATTTTTATTTCACAGTGTAAAAGGCCCAAGCCATGGGATAGTGAGCCTTCCTTTGGTATGAAAACATTTTGATTGTTGAAATTGTGGGACACATCTTTGAGTGGCTTTGTTTCCTACAATCGCGTTCACATTTTTCCCATCGAAAAGGGTTCTTGATACTGAAAATTCAACCATCACTGTAACGCCTTTGCCCATTGTAAATTTGAAAGGCTTAAGGTGTTTAATTTCTTCGCCCAAACGACTGTATTCTTCGAGAGCCTTTCATTGTCTTCTTTTTGATGTGCGATTTTCAAGGGCCGAAAAAAA